TCACTCCTTTATCCACAACACCGGTACTCCATCATGATTCTATGTGAACAACACAGCTGTGCGAATTCTGGATAAAGGGGAATTCAAACATTCTGAAATTTCCACAAAGGTCAGTTGTTGAGATGTAAACATTTTGATGTGAAATGGTTAGTTGTACAGAAACGTACTGGCTTAGATTTCTTTACAGTGGTGGTGATAGGAACCAGGAGTTGTGATGTCTACAACACAAATACAGCCATTTTATTTACTATCCAAAACCACCAGTGGAACTGCACTTGTCTTCTAAAATTTTATATATAATATTAATAATGGTGAAATACTGCCCTATGGTACCTCTCCGCCATGAATGAATTTTTAAAAATACGGTGTAAACCAGATTCGCAGCAGATCCTTTACCATTTTATGTAATAATTTCCTGCAAGATCATTTTAGACACTTCAGACGTCTAGTTCCTATCACCACCACTGTGAACAATTCTGACTTGGTAAGTTTCTCTGGAATTACACGTTTCACACCAAACCACTCTGAATGACATTCTTTACATCTTAACCATTTAATAAAACTATATATATATATATATATATATATATATAGTCTCTAGGCACCTCACGATTCGATTCGATTACGATTCAGAGGGCTGCAGTGCGATTATAAAACGATTATCGATGCATCTCGATGCATCTTTTTTTTTCTATACAGCATTACTATTTTCTCACTGTGTGAGTTCAAGTTTCAAGTTTATTTGTCATTTGCACAACATGTCAGGACATTTATGCATTGAAATGCTTGTGGTGAGGCTCAGCTAATCACTCTACAGAAAGTAAATAAGTAAAAATAAAAATACAAGAAAAACCAACTGAAATATATTAAATATACACAAAATATACACAGAATATAGAGACAATATACATTTTAAAGTGACTAAGTGACTCAGTGTTGTTATTTAAAGTGACTTGGTACTTTTAAAACAAAGTATTTGTAATGATCAATAACGAATTTACTTCCAATATCTCTTATTAATAAATCAAATGGAAGTGATGTGGCAAGTGAACTAGAAGGCTCTCATTCACTGCTTTTGTTTAGAGCACATGAGACGCTACTGCCACTTGTCTGCGATAAAATGCGCAGTTACGGTGAAATAAGATCCAGTGGTAATGGATGTCCACGCAGCACGTTACAGCTGTCCTGCCCGTTTTCTTTAGTGATTTTATAACTTCGGTTTTGGTCTCGTTGTGGAGAGTGGGGCAGGGGAATCGCTGTGTCAGTAAAATATCTTTGAGACGGGACGTGTGCAACATAGAGCGAAAGCCCTGTTTCGCAACGACTGAGAATTGCCGTGCAGACTGCAGGTCACATAGCAACGAAGCGTTATTCGCGTTTATAAGCAGCGCAGTTGGTTTCCTGGTACGTTAAATCTGCAACGAGAGACTGTCAAACACTAAACAGTTATGAAGATGAAGTCACTTCTCTTTCGAATTCTCCCGTTCCACCTTAAATGGTGTCGCATTTACATTCGGCGCCTCAGTCAGAATTTAAGGTGGAACGGGAAAATACGAACAATAAGCTGGAGAATAAGAAGCGACTTCAGCCTCGTAAAACAACGCTGAGAGACATTTTACAATAAGCTGCTCTAGTTTTGAATAAAAGTTTCCTGAGGGAAAGGGGAGGAAAGCGGCTAAAGCTTAAAGCAGAGCAGAGTAAGTCCGCTCTTGTTTATATTGTTTAGTCTATACTAGGACATTATCACATACTGAGACATACTGGACATAAATTGTTGTGGCTCCCAAGCTGGTTTGATTTTTGTTGAAAGGACAAAATGTCTCTTCTTAACATTTGGGTTGCGACTCCTGACCTAACCTGGCTTTTAATGCAGAGGGAGCTGGTCGGATTTCTCGCTCATCCAATAGTGTTTTTGTTATGTGCCGCCACAGACTGTCCGGGCGCTGCACTTCCGCACTTCCAAGTTCTCTTCGCCTTTTGTGTTCCGTGAACATTACATTATGAATTAAATATTTAGAAAATTGATTTTTGTTAATCATGGGGGCATGCAGGGCTTTGGAAAGGCAAAGTAGTACACAAAGAGAACTTATTTCAGATTTATCACTGTTGTACTATTATCAGCATTACTCATAAAACCTCAGAAGACACATGGAGGTTTTGGACAGCAAACAAAATGCTGAGGCAGACATGCCAACCCCTGGTTCCTGTCAAATAGCGGAGAGGTACATGCAGGGTGTTCCAAGGCAAAATACAAAGAAAACTAATTTAACCATTTTACCATTTATATACAAACATTTCACCAACTACTAACATTACTTATATAAATTCATAAGATGTATAAGCTCACTAGTCATTTTGTGTAGTAAATACAATGGATATATTTGCTTTATAGACAAAACTCTGGTTACTATTACCACCATCTCACGTTTGTGTCTTCTAATGTAACATTAATGTCACAAATTCTGTTCCCTATGATAGTTTTCCATATAGCACTCCTGACTGTCCAATGTAGGGCATAATGATTACGGCACATTTCAGACACAGTGTATATTATTTCTGTAGCATCGTATCCACTGCAAAATATCAACAGTGCGCTTGCCATTGCCTGTGTGACAAGAACTAGAAATGGGACTGTAGTTTTCTGTATCTTTTGCAGTTCTAAAGGAGTGGTAGCAGGCCTGCATGGAGAACAGAGAGGACGGAGCTCACCCCTGCGCCGGAGGCAAGACGAACAGTTCATTAAACAGACAGTGAAGGATGGTCTTGTTCGCCAGGACTGGATGAGGCAACCAAGCAGAGAGCATGCGTGCTGATAGATGTATTTAAACGTCCCAAAGAGAGAGTGAAATAGGCCTGTGTGCAGAAATCCACTGCCAACTGTATCAGGCCAAAGAGACTGAGGAGATTCATCTCCAGTAAAACAGAGACTGCAAACATGAGCTTGAAACAGAGAGAACAGTTCTTGAAGACTAATCTAGACTGGCGATTCTGAAAAAGCAGGTTATATAGTGAGTGTTTCAAATGCTCACTAATGTAGCCTATTGTTCCTGTAACAAAAAAGCATGAAAATGTTCTATGGCTTCTGATTTCTTCTGTACAAGTTCCCATTATATTTTTAAAGTGGTTTTCTTACCCTGTAGGCATTTACACTTGAGCATCATTCCAGTGTGTTGAATGTAATGCAGGTAACTCCTGCAGCCTATCTAAAGGAAGTCATTTCTGAGATCTCCACAACCCAAGTAACATCAGAGTGATAGTTAACTTAAGCTGAAATGAATATTGCCATCCAAGAGAGTTGCAAACCTTAGAAAAGCACATTTGTAGAAGAGCAGGCATTGCAGGACTGAACATAAGGTGCAGACTCCTTTCAGACACATAGGGAAGTCAGCAACGTTTACAAATAAGATTAACAAGCACCGGTAACACCAAAATTATGTCAATTTTTCATTATTTAATCACGGTAAGTGTTTAGCAGTCAGTGGGCCAGTTTCCTGGACACAGATTAAGCCTAATCTTGGACTAAAACTGAATCACTGTTGGGAATCCATTTTATTTTAGTTCAATCTCGGTTTGAGAAACAGGCCCATTGTAGGCTGATCTGTTATTGGAAACCTCAAGCAAATGCCAAAGGCTCCCCCTTGTGTTTACTTCAGTGCAATGGCCGCTATTTCAAAACCCACCCTATTCCATGGGACATAAAATATATTAAAGGAGAATTTCAGCCTGCAGCTGACATTTACTATGTTCGATATGTCATGTAATATTCTGTAGTGAAGCACTGCATCCCTCAGCCTCACTGGTTTGAAAAAAAATATGATTTTATATCCATTAATGTTCTCTCATGTCCCTAGCATGCACGGAGCAAACATGTCTTGCAACCATTGTGAATCCTCCCAAGGCAATAAAGATATTCACTCATATAGAGACAAATAAATACAGAGTAACTTTAGCCACCTGGTTTACCTCTGCATTTGCCAGCAGGGAAAAAAACAGCTTGCCTTCATGTTTCTGCCCCAAAGTGCTTGTAGTTCATTCCCACCTTCAAATGTAAATCATCAGGAGGGAATTTTCCTAGTCTTAAAACTGAAAAATCTCACTCAAAACCATTTTGGCACCACTGTAGGAGATGGAGGAATAGGCATGTAGCAGATGTAGCAATGGTCACATTTTTCATTTTGGCTATAGCACCCCTTTAACATATTATATCTTTGAAGCCCATCTGTGACACCTCTGAAGTCCACCTGTGATGCCTCGGATTGGTTCCTCCACCTCGACAGAATAAGCCAGACTCCAGCGCATAATTAGGACTGAGGACAGGATCATTGGATGTAGTCAGCCAGTGCTTCAAGACATCTACAACAGCAGGGTGATGAAGCACACCAGCAAAATTACAGCTGACTCCTCTCATCCTGGACACCACCTCTTCCAGCCACTTCTCTCTGGTAGAGGATTCAGGGCCATAAAAACCAGCAAAGCCAGACATGCTTACAGCTTTTTCACCAGATCTGTATGGCTCATCAACCACAGTGGACACCTCACACTTTAAACTTAAACTAAACCAACAAACCTCCCTTACTTTATTACGGTAACTCCTCTGTAACATAATGCTTATTTGCACAACTGTACAAATGTTTTGCAAATGCTCATATCATTCTGTAATATTCTGTATATAATAATTTTATAGTATATGTCTACTCAGACCTGCATATGTAAGTTATAGATAATCATATCTGCACATGTACAGATATTCACACATCTCTTTACCTCACTTCACTTTGCCTCTTTATTATTCTTTCTTATTTATTCTGTTTATTGTATTTTTATTTTGTTTGCCTGACTAGCTTATTCTGCTAAAGCCTCTTCTAAGGTTGTGATGGACAGTCATTAATACAACCATGGAGGACTGTGGTGAAACCGTGGCTGGCTTTAATGGATCCTCTGTCTGTATCTCTGATCTCCAAGGAAACTGTGTTTTGCTCCACCCGTGCGCTTCCCACCCACCACCAGCTGTTACTCGCACGAACACAATAATCTCCTAAAACTTATATTTTACTCTCAACTCGAGTTCTCCTTTTCAAACTCCTGCTCGAAACTTTCACTTTCTGCGCTATATGTGTGCAAGAGGCTCGAAGCTGAGGTAAGTTAGAGACACTAACCTCACACACCTGTGAACTGCAGGCGAACTTGTTTTTGAGTTGTCGACTGATAAAATACTCCATTACCTCCTTGCTTTTCCTCTATGAAGATAAATCCATAACTCGGACACGTTAACGCTACTTTTCTCGGTGGTGAGGAAACATCTTTGGTCGTAGACCAATACCGTTAGCTTAGCTTAGCGTAGCTAGCCATCGACTGTTATTACTGTTATTCCAGGCTGCAGTTGACACGACGAACCGAAGCTTGAACTCGTCAACACAGCCTAAAAAGTGTCTGTTTTTCTCTGCATCACAGCTGATTGTCGCACATTCGTCACCCCAGAAACCCAAACCGAAGAAATGTCGAGTTCCAGAAACTTTCTGTCATTCTGGTGACTTTTATGCATTATTACAAAAAAATGTCATAATGTCAGAACTTGCTGTCATTATTAGAAAATGATGATACAACAGCAAACTTAGTTTTTGTTGAGCATTTGAACGTAAGCTAGCTATATTTTTAAAAGAACGAGCTTCTACTGATGTCCGACTCGTTGAACGAATCGGTTCCTTTGAACTGATTCTCTTCAACAACAAACTGAATCAAACTTTTTGTAGCATACGATGTATGATGTTATCTGTGTTATAGATTGAGGATTTCCAATAAAATTTTAATATTATACCTTCTCCTTTCCAGAGAAACTTGAAGCTGCAAGTGATTTCCAAAGCAGAACTTTCCAAGTTTAAAAAACGACGTTTTCTGCTGTTAAAGCGGCGTTTTAATAATTTGACTAATTTGACTGATTATGTGTGCATTTTAACTAATATTATTTATTTATGAAAACACCGGCTGTTGAAGAGGAACAGAGGAACTTTATCTCCAGGTTAGAGTTAACTTAGCTGCTCTGCACTAACATTCAGTCAGTTTAGCAACGAGTCACTTTAAGATGAGCTGAAGTTCCGAAGCACATCGGCTTTCATTTTTGATTCCATTAACATGAGGTAAATTAAGGGAAATCTGCTAGCATTACAGTAATAACAATAACACCTGCATTTTCTTAACAAACCTCTGTGTGCATCTCTCTCTCTCTCTCTCTCTCTCTCTCTCTCTCTCTCTCTCTCTCTCTCTCTCTGTGTGTGTGTGTCTGACTACTAGTGCACAAGCCTGCACACTTCTTGAATGTGAACCCCAGTTTCCCAAAATATTTTTCAAGCTGTTTAATGATAAATTAGTCCTCTCTAATTCTTTCATCATCAACGAAATCTAATAACAGCACACTATTGCCCAGGCTGAGGATGTTCTAAAATGTACACCCTTGTACGTGACTTTGTACAGGCATGATACCTGCCTACAGCACTGAGAACATTCAACCAGTGCAGCTCAACAGCCACATTGCTACAACCATTTCATCTATGTTATACAGTAAATATGGTACTAATGTAGGATATCAGATCACCCAACATGTTTAAAAGTTCAGATAAGTTCATGTGTGGGAATAGTGTCTTGCAGTGGTTTGCATGAAATAAGCCAATCAATGAACAACGAATATTTACCATCACTGAACACAGGCCTGAGCAGCTCTAGTAGACCCAGAATGTCAGACTCCAGTTGTGGAGGACCACAGCACTGCATCGTTTGGCATTCCATTTCATTTAACACACTAGACCTTAATGAATTGAGTTCGGAGTGTTAGAAGAAGGCTTTTTTTTGCAGAACTGTGAAGGGATGTTGCGTTTAACATCGCTGGTGCACACTGTATATGTATTTCTCTGTCTGTGTTTATCCAGCCCTGCGCTTAAAGAAATGAATCCAGCTCAGTTAGTGAATAGAAGTAGCGGACACCAGACTTACTGGCTGAATTGGCGCTCACATACCACCCAGACTGAAAATTAATTATTGATTCAGAAGAAGAAACTTGCACTGCCAAAATCTCATCTTTGAGGACACTTGTTAAATGGAAATTACTGCCTGAACAGTCTGTCTAATGAAATAAAATATGCCATGGGAAAACAACAATGGCATAAAAAATGCAAGCTTTTTATATATAATCTGTTGTAATTTAAACCAGAGGTGGGTGACAACAATATTGGATCATGAAAAATTCTATTACAGATATTGTTAGTATTTCTAGAGCACAACCCAGCTGTATGCTTTTTAAAAAATGGAGATTTGTGACAGTTGTAGAGAGCCTGGTGGTGTCAAAACTGCACTGTAACGAGCAGCTGACTAGTGATTAACCCATTTTAACCATTATCTTATTTACTTGTTGTCATTTATTTGTTCTTTGTTATGTTAAATAAATATCAAAATCATAGTGCTTATAGTTTTAATTTGCATCTCCAAAACTACCTGTTACCAAATCTCAAAAACTAAATATTGTGATATGTATTGTGCATTCTGAAGACCTCTACCTCAGTATTGCCCACTCCTACGTTAGACAGTTTGAATACATTAATTGAAAGAATCGGTTTTGTAGACTGCACTTAGTAAGAAACAGTAAGAAACTGAACTCATCATACAGAGCGAATGAAAGGTTGTGGAGATCAGACTCACTTGCTGAGTTGATTGTCATTGTGTACAGAGGGATATAGGAATAAATTTGACTGATCATTATGCATCGTTGAATCAGATGATGCGTTCATTAAAACGGACAGCTCAAAAGAATCGATTCGGTAAACTGAATCGACTTGAATCGCTAGTAACTCCTGTCGGCCTGAACTGACACTGTTGCCAGGGGGCGTGACCACGCTGTTGTTATGGGCGCGGTCGTTGTGTTTTTTGAGGGGCGTGGCCGCGTCTCATAGCAACCCTTACAAGAACAGATAAAACAATTAGTGCCATCTAGCGTGCTGACTGTAGCAGAGGCGAGAGTTTGACGACCGAAATAAGAAAGAAACGGTTGAAATTTGCTTCTTAAATGGGAGAATTTTTAATCTGATGAGGGCTGTGAAAAGCGGGGCTGTGCTGGAGAAACGGTTAGAAAGGCCTACACAGACAGAACTCGGTTTTGTGTTTCATTAAAAAATGATTCACCTGATGGATGAAAATCGAACAATTTCAGAGTATGAAGAGCTGTACAACATATTTGATGTCTTTTTACCAGTTACAGAATATGATACTGTGATAAAAGCTGTCCCAACCATTATACTCTTTGTGTGTAAAGGTACAACAGATTATGATGTGCTGTAATATCACTCCAGACATGTGTGCTTTGTGTATTGAAGGTTGTGATTTTAAGTCAGAAAAGGTAACAGATAAATTCATGAGAGAAATTTTGTTAAAGAAATATTATCCTCGTCAGCTGAGAAGAAATATATTTTGAAGGATTACAAGAAGGAGATGGCTAAACATATTAGGAAAAAAGATATTTGGTATATTCAGTTTTACCGAAAGCAAAAGAGGTTTTTACATTTAGAATGATTTTTATCCATCCAACAAATTTTTTAGGGAGAAATTGAATTTAGATACAAATGCATGTTGTCTCTGTCGCAATGATATTGAAACTGTGGAACATGTTTTTTAGTGTGAAAAGCTGCAAACATTTTGGACATCCTTTCAGAACTGGCGTACGTCTGAAAATAATGAGATACATCCAGTGAATGAGATATCTGTGAAGGTCAGCCTGTTCTTAGAGGAGAAAAATATTGAACTGAATTTCAAGTGAATATTTAGATTGTGTTGTACAAATACTTTATATACAAGTGTACTCAGGTGACCCTCTTTAAGCTGCCTTATTTATTTATTTATTTATTTATTTATCTATCTATCTATCTATCTATCTATCTATCTATCTATCTATCATTTTTCCCTCTTTTATCTAATGTTTTACTGTTCAGCATGGTGGACTTTCAGTGCTCTGTTGGCATTATATGCCTAGTGTGTTTGTACAATGACTGGCTAACTGACTAAAAAATAAACCTACGCAGAAAACGGAGTAGATTTGTGGAGAGGACCAAATCTTTGTTGAATCATTTGCTGGAGGTCAAACTCAAGATATGCTTACTGTCCTCATCAGAACCGTAATGCTGAATGAACACCTACAGCTGGACATGCTGCATGGTGCATGTTCACAGGAGCCTAACGCACATGAATTAATGCGCAGTAAAAACATATTAATCATCTGACTAAGGTTAATTTAAGTCATTTTATAAAGAAGGTAATTAACTTACGTTATAATTAAGTTCACTTAACTGTAATAACAGATTCATACAGGTGACAGTTTTCCATTAATGAAACACTTGAGCAATTAAAGTTTGAGTTTTGCAATTTGCAGAGCAGTTTACAGGAGAAAAATCACACTGACACATCAGATGTGGCTGGATGACTAGACCGAAGGAGTGGCGTCTGGTTGTCTAGAAACTAAGGCCACTCAAACATCAGCTACTAGTTTGGAACAATGCAGTTCCACAAACTGCTAAGAAACTGTTGAGTGTTGACATTCACTCCAGGGAAACAGAGAAGTGCAGCTCACTTTCAGAGCTGGAGATTACACACAGAAGATGAGCCATTTCCAAATGCACTTCCAGGTAAATAATTCTTTTTAGCTGAAATTACCGTTAGAATGAAGTACAGTTCTCTCAGTTCTTTCAGTTCAGTAACTGTAAGTTTAAGCTAACGTGTGAGGCGTTACCCTCACTCAGGAGAGCACACTACATTTCAGACTGCATAGGCCAGATCATATAAGAAAAGCAGATTTTCAGCAAAGAGATAGATTTACAAAAAAAAAAAACTCGTGAAGACACCCTTTACATAGCTTATATGTTATCTATCTATCTATCTATCTATCTATCTATCTATCTGTCTATCCGTCTCTGTCCATCCATCCATCCATTCATCCATCTATCTATCTATCTATCTATCTATCTATCCATCCTTCCATCCATCCATATGGTGTGTGTGTGTGAGTGTGTGTGTGTAAGTGACACGGGTCATTTACTGCTTTGTTGGTTTACCTTAGAGATATATTTGCAGTGAGTTTGATCTATTCTCTCTCTCTCTCTCTCTCTCTCTCTCTCTCTCTCTCTCTCGCTCACTCTTTCTCACTCTCTCACTCATAAGCCCTTCTTTAGAAGTGGTCACTACCCATCATCCTGCCCTCTCTTCGCTAAACCTCTTATCATGCCAGGCCAGTTCTCTCCAGCTGAGCCCCTCTCTGCTTTGGTCATCCCACCATCCTGGAGTGCCGGACCCCCTCCTCAGCCCTTCCACTTCCGCTCCCGCACTGAGCCCATGGACTGGCGCCGCATGGCATCACTGGACGTGGATCGCGTGGCACGAGAGATGGACATAAGCGTCCTGCAGGAGTTTATCACTGCGGTGACATTCTGTGATGTTGAAGGGGAGCGGTGCCCCAACTGCCGCTGCCCTACAGACACGGCCCTGCTGAAGGTCCTGCGCATGTCTCAGCTGAGCACAGAATACCTGCTGCACTGCCAGGACTACCTGACGGCACAGATGTCCGCACTGGAGGAGCGCCTGCAGGGGGCGTTGTCCCAGGCCCAGAAGGAGGCAGAAATGCGAGCGCAACTGGAGAAGGAGCTGCAGGAGGTGAAGCTGGAGAGCCGGCGCAGGAAGAAAATGATGGCAACTCAGCAGCTCCTGCTACAGGCCAGCGCCAATAACTACCACAAAGTGAGCTTCTTAAAGTGATAGTTTGGTGAAAATCATGTTTAGCCCTAAACAATTCCAAAATTTGTCTGTACTTTAGTGCACTTTTAGTATGTCATAGAGTGTCAGAAACCAGATAAGCAAGTCTGTTTGAAATTAATTAACAATGCAGCGCTTTTTGGGGCAAATAATTTGGGCATGTCGTTTGCATAGTCCTCATTGGTGAGATATAAGTTTTTATTATTTATTAGCTATATTGGCCTTGTAGCACCAGTGCAAAACTAAAAAAGCTTCGGACACCAAACATGTCTTGGATGACTGATTTGTGGTAAGGGGAGAAATGTGTAAATTCGAGCCCTTGTTCATGTACATGTAAGAGCTGGTATAAACATTTAGATCACATGGATTACTAATGCAACTTGTAAACAAACGAGAGAGGAGATAAAGAAAGATGCTGTTCAGGTGCTTTCATTACTGCAGTGATGCAGTTGAATATGTGGTCCTTCCTTGTTGCTGGAGATGCAACAGGAGACCTTATAGCTGATATATGGGGAGCCTGGACTCTTCCTATTTCTCCCATTATATCGAAAACATGGCTGCAAAATGCCAGAGGGTGCCTACGAGCAAGTCCTAAATGAATGGGGGTGAACAGAGCTAAACAAGGATGTATTTCACAAAAAAGCAAAGAAAACTTACCTGTATATTTCTTTTTTTTCTACAGCAAATGGGTTTGGGGCACAATGACGCTATAATCACTGCTACTGAGTGCTGACTGATTGGCGAGCAGAGCAGCTCATCGGTTGAGTGAGGCAGTTCGTGCTCACTGACGTCATGAATGTACATGAGCCGCTGTCATAGAGTCCTATAACTGGAGTTCAAAAGCACTCAAAAATACAACAGCAGTGTTGAAACGTTTTGTGTTGCTCTGCGTTCAGGACACGAACGCATTCTCCTATATAAAAATTAAGCATAAAAATTACAAACTATGACTTTTCTCAAATGCTCCATATTAAGCCATTCTTTTTGGACTCACTCGGGAGTGCCCTCTAGCATTTGACAAACCCAGAAGACCTAATAGAGTGGCAATTCTTCTCTCTACAAATTCTTTGCTTTAGCATTCACACCACAAATGTATTGTGGTCATATACTACATATACTCTGACCGCCTCTGAAAGTGGTTTGAGTGATCCAATCACAATGTGTCTCTGAATTGCCTCTTGGCTCTAGTCTCAATAGTAGTTTGTGCAGTTACATGGATGCAGTCTTCATTCTTCATCATTCAAATTTTGTTCATGAACCCAGTATTGTGAATCAAACTGTGAGTTACAATTTTTGCATATTTCAATCATTGAGATGTAAACACAGTCATTCAGAGTGGGAACCGGGGTCACAATGTCAATATCTAAAGCCATTACAGAAATATAGCAATTTTATTTTATTTCCAAATCCACCACTTAACCTAAACACCTCATAACACCCTACATGTACCCCTCTACCGTAAATGTATTTTTAAAAAATACATTTTATGCCAAAATGTTATCTCTAAACTACTGTAAGTCAGTGTCAGGCGGTGTATTCATAACCATTTCATGTTATAACATTCAGTGCGGTAACTTTTTATATACTGCAGACATCTGATTCCTGTCACCACCACTGTGAACAATTCTGACTTGGTATGTTTGTCTAGAACGGGACATTTCATACCAAACCACTCTGAATGACTGTGTTTATACACTGGTCATTTAATTATGCAGAAGTTTTGAATAATTGGTGGAATTCCCCTTTAACAGGTCATGATAAATTGCCAAATAGAAGCTGTATTTTGAGTAGCACAATGCTGATGGTGTAGAACACCACATATAGTAATATTGCTGCTCATAGTCCCTGTTAAAACATGTGGGAAGAAAACATGAAAATGTCAGCTTTAATTGAGAAGCAAACATCTGCAACAAAAGGCTTAGCTAGTGTTAACAAAAGTGGCTTGAAGTAAGAATGTTGGAATGAGAAAAGGTTTATATTGAGTAACAGCACCTGTTGATGTTTTTCCCGTTTCAGTGCCAGTTCTGTGAAAAATCTTTCGTCAATTACTCCTACTTACAGTCACATATTCAGCGGCGGCATCCTGAGATCACGGACGCAGGTATGAAACCTCCCACATATATCCTGCGGACCACTTAAAATGTGTCAGTCAAAGAAGCTCTGAGAGTCAGTATGAATATATAATTAGTTTCTTAAGGTATTTCACATGTTGTTTTGCTAACTGTGAGAAAATATGCAGATTTTCTTATGATTTCTTGTGTAGGCTGCTGTGTCTGCTTTACAGTGTAGAGTCGATAGTATTTTGTTATGCAGCTCTGCTTTTTGCTGCTGTAAGATTTGTTTAACTATGTGTTAACTAAGTGCTAAGTTGAGGGTGGGGATGCACAGTCATTATGATTTTTATGATTCTGATTCCAAATTCTTTACAGCTAAATTGGCTGACCGATTTCTTTCTTTAGCCGATTTTTTTAGTCTTATTTTTTAAACCTGAAGCTCACACTGTGTGGGCTAAATCAGTGTTTCTCAACCCTGGTCCTGGAGACCGACTGCCCTGCACATTTTACTGCTTTTCCTGCTTTAACACAGCCACTTTAACTTAATAATGGGCTTATAGTGAGCTGATTAGTTGGATCAGGTATGTTAGGAGCAGGGAAAACACTAACAAGGGGAGGGCAGTGGGCCTCCAGAGCCAGAGTTAGGAAACACTGGGATGAATTCTAGATTGAAAATAAGAGACAATGGGCTATGTAACACAATAAGTAATGCAATAATTTGGTATGGGTGTAGTAGCATTCAGATACAGTGTGAGTGCACTTACCTGCCTCATTTTATTAATGTCACAAAATTGCAAAACTGATAGGCTAAAATCAAAATAATAACTTCACCAATTCCTGATTGCACATTTGGAGCAAAAATCTCTAGTTGAGTGTGCACGTTCATTCAAAAATATTCATTCTTTAGCGTAAAGAGTGAAAAAATAGGTAATGTTATTAGATAATAAACTTTAATTTTCTGTTTACAATCATTTCTTGTCATAAAATTACTATGAATGGCTATTTTATCACTGTGATTTGGTCATTGCTCATTCTCGATGCGGTACAGCTTTCTCAGTTATTATAGAATCGTCTACAGCTCCATTCATTAAAAATTCCTTCGGTTTTGCAGCTTTGTTCATATCAGAATCAGTTTATATGCATTTGCAACAAAATTATTTTTAAGTAGCTCCAAACTTTTTAACAGTAGTATGTCAAATTACCTACACTAAACTATTTACCCTGTTAATAATCAATAGCGATAAAATATATGAAAGGCACCATAACATTCATCCACTTTATAGCTACTGTGGTTGTGTGTTAGAGAGACAGAAGAAGAGGCAGGTGGAGCAGATGGAGGATGGGATAGAGGAACTGAAGGAGAAACTGAGGCTGACTCAGGTTCGCCTGGCAGCAGAAAAAGAGGCAGATGCACACCATAGGCAGCAGGTTGGTTTACAACTATAACACAAGCAGTGTAAGCCGACTTATCAACTCAAATGCAAACATATTTACATTATGTTTCTATCAATGGAGGAGCTGGAGGAGCTGCGGAGGAGAGAGGTAGCGGAGAGGGAGGCCATAGAGAGATGGAAAGAGGAGGAGAGGAGAAAATTTCAGCAAGAAATTGAGGAACTACGACAGCTATTTCTGCAGGAGTTTAAAGGCATAGCAAACAAGAGCTACTCTCTGGAAGCTGTGAGTGTACACATTTCAGCCACTAGATGGAGACACCTGCTCATATCCAGAATAATACAGAACAGTTGGACAAAGTTATACAGAAAGGTCAGAACGAAGCCCTGTCCCAATTGGTGCACTTGCAGTCCAGCAGTCCTTTTTGCACGTAGCCACGAAGTTGTAAGGTGTCACATTTCTCATTCGGGTCAGTGAGGTGCTCACAGGCACCTTCTCTGCACCCTTAGTGCTAAGACCGCAACGACTCAGCAGCGGCTTCAAATTTTCTTGCGATAAAGGCAAGGACGAGTGGAGGGATTTGTTTACAACTGCAGGATCAACATGGCGAAGAAGAATCACATTCAGATTAAAATGCATTTGTTTATTGATTTAATTTGACTTATTTTGAGTTATTCAGAGTTATTTAGCTGATCTCTGCATGTAGTCAGAATTGAGCCAATGTAAATCAGCAAATTACTTCATTTAGAAAAACAAGTACACTCAATAACCTAATTTTGCCGGGTACAACACATTCAGGGCCCTTCAAGCACTTCTGCCCTCTGTGTCCACACACCGTTGATGTCACCAAAGTGCGGACCTGGATGAGCAGCGCTGGGCCCAAGGCGCCAACAAATCCCGAGGGTCCCAACATTGATCCTTGTCTCTCGTGCTGCACATTTTAGTGTTTTCTAGTCTAACACATCCTCTTCAGCTCAGGACTCTGGACATCTCAGGTTTTGTTAATGATGTGACTAGTTGGACCAGGTGTTTTGGAGCATAGAAAACATCAGAATAAGCAGGTCTGGGTCACTCCAGCACCAGGGTTGGGAACCACTGGAATAAGAGATGGTTGGTGCTTTAACCCTTAGAAATGTTACTGTCATTTGCCACTTACTGAACACTGAATAACTTTAGTTTTTCTGTATTCAAATGTACAAATGTTAATTACATTGTTGGTTGCACAAGGAACAACATTTATTTTGGGTTCACATTCTGTATTGACAGGTTACAAGACATGACAAAAACTTGATGAAAATGTAAAGAAGGAGCAAATTTAAATCATAATAAAATATCTCCTACTTAAGTGTGTTATGGGCAGAAAGTTTTGTTTCTATGTTTTTTTTCAGTGCTCTTTGAGTGAGAATTACTTAAAATCAAATTATACCATCCCAATAATAACTATGAATTCTGAGGGTTAAAGTCAAATGTTCCAGCCATTAATGTCTTTTACGGCAGCAGTTTTCTTTTTGTGCCTCCCTGATCTTTATTAAAAAGTTGCGGTCCTTTGAATTACTGAGCTGCATTTTTTATGTGGTGTTTCTCTGAGTAGAAACTGCAGGAACTGGAGAGCAGAGAGGTGCATGTGTCCAATGTAAGAGGTGAGGACGATCATGAGAAAGAGCGAAGGCGGCTCAGGGAGAAAGAACTGAAGGAGCAGATGGCTCAGAAGGTTTGGTTTCCCACTTTTTTTACATTCACTCCTCTGTCTTTATACACAAATCACCTTCTGATGGAGAAAACTTCATTTTGTGACAGTTTGATACAGGTTTAATTATTAGAAAGCAGACAAACCTTGTAAACCTTCTAAAGCAACCCCTTTGCTGTCTTGGGTGTCTTTTAGAAGAGTGAGTGGAGGAAGAAACTGAAAGAGGTACAGAACCATCACCAACAGGAGAAAGAGGAGGTGAGAGGAATTTCCGCGATTCCTGATACAACACAAGCTTGTAAGGAAACTGGGCAATTGCATGTGTGTGTGTGTGTGTGTGTTTTGTGTATGTGTAAGGTTAACGTTAGGGGTGGATATTACATATAGGTACTTATATATTGTTGCTGTTGGAACAAAACCTTGCATTTCCAAAATGGCAAGAGAAAGGAAAAGCATTATTAACGTTTAATGTATGTTTTTGTAACAACATTGTATTTCAAGTAATTCTGGACCATTTCTGCTCTACTCATCATAAAATGTTCACACAATGTAAAGGGCATCTGGTGTTTTCAAATAATGTGGAAAAAGTTTAATTCATATGGAACACTATTATATACAAGTACTTACACATTGCACATATATATAATTATGATCTCACATCCGGTCCTGGAAGTGGGTTATTGTATTTATGTGTTATTTGTGTGTGTGTGTGTGTGTGTGTGTGTGTTACAGCTGCAGAGTGAGAATGCCAGGCTGCTGAAGGCTCTGTCTGTGGAGCACAGCTCCAGCTCCAGTCTGCATGCTCTGAAGCAGCAGCTCCTCTCTCTCTCCTCTCAGCTCAAACAGAAAGACAGATTCATCCACTCGCAAGAGCAGAAGGTGAGATGGTGCACTTTACAGCTTTAAAATGGAGCTAAAGTCCTCACTATTGGTGTTTCCTACCCTTTTATATCCTTTTATATCTATTTTATGTGAGTAGTTATTATACATAATAATAATTTGTACAACTGAATTATTTAATAGTTCAATCATTTTGGAAACTTAGAGAGATATTAAATGATAAATTTGCTAAATATTATACTGCAATTATATGATTTGGTCAACATTTTGAAAAAAAAGAGGGTTTTGGATGTAACTTTACATTTTTAGTTAACTTCATTTCTAAGTGAGTCATCTGCAGCTCTGTTCTTTTTCTACTGCTTCCTTCTAGTTATATAAAGCCTGTGAAATTTCACAGTACTCGCATCATATTAGAATTGTTTTGCGTATGTATCTGGCATTATATTGGTTGTTTATTACTGAAAACATTGATTACAAACAAATGGTAGTGTATATGTAATGAAACACAAAGTATGTTTATATATCATTTATGTGTAATGCAATTTACTTGAAGTGAAAGAAGAAGTATAACCCAACTCTATACTTTCATTCCAGATTCAGAAACTGTCTGCTACACCAGTCTCAGGTACTGACCACTGTGATATTTAGACATTTCTGATTTACATAATATTATATTAAAGCCAACAAGACCGGTACAAAAATTTCAAATTGTTTTATTCACAGTAAGTTATTCAGAGCCACCACCACATATTACTCAGGATGCTCACGACTCTCCAGAAGAAGAGGATGTTGATGATAAAGGGGAGGAAGATAAAGAGAGTATGATTTTTCAAGTAGTTTAATCAAATATATGAACCGCATAAATAATAGCACTTCATTTACAAGAGCATTTTAATGGAGTACTGTATACTCACTTAAAAAACACTTTGGCTTCTGCAGGGCTGGAGGACTCAATGGAGGCTCAGCGGAAAGTTCTGGAATCACTGAGAGGAAATCAGGAGCTAATGAAGGAATTTAGACCCATCCTAGAGGAGACTCTGGAGGAGAGACTGGAGAAAATGGGACTGAGGAAGGTAGAAATTCTTTTGCTATACTATTTTAATTTAATTAAATCAATAATTAAATATGTACTTTATTAATTGTATTTACAATGCATTCACTTGCTAAGTCTAAACATCTGACCTTTTTCTGATTAACTGTCCTATGTTGTTCAAAAAGCACTCTGGGCTGAAATGTGCAGTAGCAACACTTATCACTTCGACATGATGGTTAAATATACAATTGTGATTTAGCTCCATTAAGTGAAAGGGCAATTGTACTTTACTAGTACATAGCACTGTAAGCATTGAGGAGTCACTTGTTGAACGTTTTTTACAGCTTAAACTGTATTTTGCAATTCATTGTGTTGAATTACTTTGTTGTTTATTGCAAAATGTTGTTGTATAATTTGAAGGGCACAAAGGGAATCTCTAAGCAAACGCTAAAGAGCCTTAGCTCAGTGGTGTCTGCTCAGCATCTGCAGAGGACCAGGAGCCAGTCAAACCTGCAGGAGCTGAGGGAGAACTTAGTACAGGAGCTAAACCACAGAGTGAGACAGCTGCAAAAGAATCAGACAAAGTCCACAACCAACAGTTACGCCCAGCGTAAGGATACAGACCTCTCACAGATACACACACACATACTCACCCAGTATAAGCACACACACACACGCACATACTAAGACTATAATACTTGATTAAAATTGATTTCTCGGTTTGTAAAATGAATCAATTAAAACTGATGAATTGGCTTGTAATTTGAATGACAAACATGTTTCTACAGGACATTATAAAGCCGTGCTGAGCTATTAGCATTCACCACATGTAAGCCTGCATGCTGCTGGTCACAATATGCAGTACCGTGCTGAGACCACCCTTTTTCCAGTCAAAACAGCCATTCAGCCACTTTACTTATTCATTTTTCAGGAGATATTTCTGAGGAGATTAAATATTAAATAATCCACTTGCATAAGGAAGGGGAAAGTCAATTAAGTGAAAAAACAGAGATTTGCATAACCGGAACTCAAAAAATTATTAAAAGATACTGAGAAAATAGAAACAGACAACAAGAATCAAACAAAGCCGCTGTTGGTGTTCTCAGAACAATTCGGCTGACCAACCCAAAGTCCAAACCTCAACACTGGATCATGAGAATTGGAAAATGCAACCAACATCTAAGACTGAACTTTTAGTTGTTGAGACATCTATGTTAAAAATGTGTTTCCTCACGATGAAAAATTAATTTTGACTAGAAATTAAATGAAGCCTGGCCTCTGACTTTTGCACAGCACTGTACTTACTCACACACACACGCACACACACACGCACACACAAATTTACCCAATGTGTGCACATAGACCACACACATCATGCACATACACACAAGGTCATCACATAAACCACTCATACCACTACTCAAGCCTCACAAATGATCTCTTATTTTGTTATATTCTCTAAAATAAAAGTGTGAAATATTGGTCTTTGGCTATTTGTTTTCAGAGTGGAGGAAGCATCTCAGTCCAACAGCGGAAAGAAGCCCTAAAGCCAGACAGACCAGCTCCAAACTCTCCTCTCGGAAAGCCAACACTCATCAGCCTCCTACACCTGCCCCCCGCTCCAGAGCTCCTGCACACACTCCGACTCCACAAACACGGCAGAAGAAGAGCAGGTACTCCCACAAGCACACACACGCCACTCTGTGTGTCAACACTGCATGACTAAATACTGCTGATAAAAGCTAGGAACACACGTTAACACTTAATTGAATACCTCAGGTCACTAAGGAGCTGTGACCTCATTTCCCTCCCTCTGCCTTATCCATTCATTAAGATAAGATTTGTTTCGGTTATGATTGTTATTTGGTTTTGTCTTCTGGTTTCCTTGTTTTCAGGTTTGATGAAGTAGTCATCCTGTTTCTTTTTAAGTTTATTTGATGTCAAATCTTAGTTTTGTTGTTTGTCTTGTCATGTCTTCTACACTTTGAGTTTTGATGTTTTTGTACATTTTTGTACAAATGTGTAAAAGATTTTTTGTACAATGTGTAAAATATTTTATAAATTCTTCTTTTTCTTCTTTTGTTATTGTGCCTTTAAGAATGATATAAGTTAAATGAGCTCTGTTCTGATGTCCTATATCATGCCTCATTCAGAAAACAATCAGAGCTGAAGCCATCCTGAGAACTTCAGTGTTAATGGGCAGAGTTAAACTGCTGTAGGCTGAATAGCTAGATAAATGTAAATGAGTTGGTTCTTGTGACATCACAGAAACAGTTTTTTGCAGTTTAGTTTCCACATGGACCGGGTTGTGAACAGTACGTTTTGAAACTTAAACAATAATTACATATTACACCAGACTCCCTTATTTAAAAAAAAGATAAGGGGTTTTCCATGATATAGGCCCTTTAAGATAATTGAAAAACAAAGTGTAAATTTATAGCAAAACATATTGTTATCAAAAATAAAATATTTTGACAGTTTTAAACTGTCATGGCAGTTTGCAGATCAATGTGTATTAGATGTAAGTATGGGCTTGCTGACCATCTGAAGTACAAACTGTTTTAGGTACAGTCTTAGGCCATCTGTGAAAATATATAAAATCATTTATCTGGGCAGTAAGCATTTATTAATAAACAAATAAGCAGTATGTTGTGATTTTATGTGTGGGATTGTCTTAGCTTAGCCATTTCCAAAATTTTTTCAAGAAATCCCATTATTTGATTTGATTTGATTTGATTTGATGTTTACAGTCACTGTCCAGTACTTGCTTCAGTTAATCAATAATTTTTTTCAACATTTCTGTATAATTTGATTATTAAGCTGTAAACAAAGTCATTCAGATGAGTTTTATGCTAAATGCTCTGTTCTAGAGAATGGAGTTGTTCACAGTGGTGTTTGTTCAGTGGTGGCGGTGTTCAGTGCTACATCACAGAAAGTTATCACATGAAGTGATTATGAATACTGATGCCTAAAACATTGTTTTACAATCACTTTGAGAAGGTTTTGGCCTTGAACATTTATTTAATAGTTCCATTCATGGTGGAGAGGTACAACTTTATTTCCAAAAAAGTTGGGATGCCATGCAAAATGTAAATAAAAACAGAATGCAATGATGTGCAAATCACTTAACTCCTGTATTTAATTAAAAGTAGTACAAAGACAACATATTAAATGTTGAAACTGAGAAAGGTTTATTGTTTTTGAAAAATATATGCCCATTTTAAATTTGATGCCAGCAACTTGTTCCACAAAAGTTGGGACAGGGGCATGTTTATCTGTGTTGCATCCCCTCTCCAACACTCTGTAAGTGTTTGGGAACTGAGGAGACCAATTGCTGTAGTTTTGAAAGTGAAATGTTTTCCTGTTCTTGCTTGATATTAGAGTCAACGATTCAACAGTTCAGGGTCTCCTTTCTCTTTTGGTTTCATAATGTGCAAAATGTTTTCAGTGGTGACAGGTCTGGACTGCAGGCAGGCCAGTTTAGCATCTGGACTCTTTTTACTACAGAGCCATGCTGTTGTAATATGTGCAGAATGAGATTTGGCATTATCTTGCTGAAATAAGCAACGCCTTCCTTGAAAACAACGTCATCTGGATGGTAGCATATTTTGCCAAAATCTGCACATATCATTCAGCATTAATGGTGCCTTCACAGATGTGCACGTCACCCATGCCACATGCACTCATGCCCTCCATACCATCATGGATGCTTGCTTTTGAATTGTGCACTGATAATAAGTCGGATGGTCTTTAGCCCAGAGGACACAGTGTCCATGATTTCCAAAAAGAATTTCAGATTTTGATTTGTCAGACCACAGGACACTTTTCCACTTTGCCTCAGTCCATTTTAAATGAGCTCGGACCCAGAGAAGGCAGCAGTGTTTCTGAATCCTCTTTATATATGGTTTCTTCTTTGCATGGTAGAGTTTTAACTTGCATTTGTGGATGCAGCAATGAACTGTGTTCACAGGTTTTCAGAGGTGTTAATGAGCCCATGCAGTGATTTCCACTACAGAATCATGTCTGTTTTTAATGCTGTGCCACCCCAGGGCCGAAAGATCACGGCCAGCGAGTGTTGGTTTTTGGCCTTGTCCCTTGCGTACAGAGATTTCTCTAGATCGAATGATATCAGGTACCGTAGATAATGAAATGTATGGTACATTTGCTATTTTACATTGCGAAACATTATTCTTGAATTGTTGCACTATTTGCTTGGATGCTCTTTTTATACCTGATCATGTTACTGACCTTTTGCCAATTAACCACCAGGTGTTTTTTTAGCATTACACAACTTTACCTGTCTTTTGTCACCCATGTCCCAACTTTTTTTGAAACGTGGCTGGCATCAAATTCAAAATCAGCATATATTTTTCAAAAACAATAACATTTCTCAGTTTCAACATTTGGTATGTTGTATTTGTACTAGGTATTTAGAAGGCACGTGTAGGTTCACTGGTTTTAGGTAAATAAATAAAGGCTATATTTGTGCTGTAGACATCCCGCCCCCTGGTTCCTATAACCACCACTGTAATGAGTTAGTTTCTCTACAAGACACCGTTTCAGATCAGACCACTCTGAATGACTTTGTTCACATCTCAACAATTGAATTATGCAGAAATCGTGAAAATTCAGTGGAATTCCTTTTTGAATCTGATGTGCTGGTGATGGCATTTAACAAATCCATGCTATAGCTGGAGTGTCCAGAGAAATCAGGAACCAAACTTGTGTTCTTCTGACTGTATTCTTCTAACTAAGATATCAATAACAAAAAAATCATGTGTGACTGTATTTATATTATGTAGTGTGCTGAGATAAACAGTTTTAAACTTATTTATTGGCTGCCTAAGACTTTTGCACAGAACTGTATGTGTAAACGTTTGGTGTAACATCAGTGCATTTAGAGGTCAAGCCTTCAAGGAATATGAAAATGAATAGTGGCACAAGTCAAGCCTAGGTGTGTGCAGAACGTCGGTCTCATTTGTGCTTATCAGTGAGTGCTGATGTGTGTTTAACATGTGCTTTCCCTCTGTCAGCACCCCACCCTTCAGTTCAGAGGGGGACGAGTCAGCCGAGGACAGCGCCTACATCACCAGCTCCCGGGGCAAGCCTTCACCTTCCACACACCTCACCCCCTTGGGAGAACAGCAGAAACCCAGCAGTGAGCTGGACTGGTCAGACAGTGACGAGTCAGATGGGTCAGACACACCAAAAGGTCAGCAGGTGCATGGTAGTCATGGTGAGGGAACGAGAATTAATTTTGAACTGAATTAAGCATTATTCATCTTCAAAGGGCAGTTAACTGCTAGGCATGTCAACAATCAACAGAACAACAATAAACACATATAAAGGATTCTCACCATCTACTCAAAGACTGTCAGAGCCAGTATTATTTCAGTTCATTCAACTGTACGACACAATCCTGTGTCCTGTTTTTATTTACTTTGAAAGTGATGTCTTTGTTATTTAGCTACCTGTTTTTTAAAAAAGTATTTTTTTCTTGCTGTTTTGAAATCAGTTTAAAATTTTAAAACATACAATAATTTATAATAACAATATGTCACCCTGTCCATAAAGTCCATTTATAGAAAATAAGATGCAAAAACTGCCCATTTTAAATAAAGAATTTATTCTTCATGGTTGTGACATCACATATCTTGTCACTTCACAATGAGGTAAGAAGAAAGTGTTGTTAATGTTCATTATAGCTCAGACAAAAACAACCTGTTTAATTCTTTGGAATAAAGATAGGTTGAAAAAAAATTGTGAAAAAAGGAATTATCACTGTTATTAGTGCTTAAACATACAACTGTACTTGTGTATATATCTCCATTATTACTTATATACACTACCCTTCATTTTGGAATCACTTGTCATATTTTTTGTTATTTTATATATAATATTCAATTATATATATATATATATATATATATATATATATATATATATATATATATATATATATATTTAAAGTTTCTTCGGGGAGAAACAAGAAGTTATAACAGTAAATGATAAATAATTAAAATAATTTAGGTACCTATTTACCTATTTATTTGTCAACCTCTCTGACTTGAGATTTATAATATGATATATTGTGTAGTAATCAGTCATCATTCTGAACGTCAATCTACCTTTTTTCTAACTTCCTTCTAATTATTTGAAACCTTTAAAGTTGCACAGGGCTCTCATCATATTGTAAATATTTCATGCATACACAGTGTAATCTAAAAGTCTGAGACCACATTGAAAATCTGGGATTTTTTTTCATTTAAACCTAGAAATAAATAGAAAGTTTAAAATCTTGAAAACTTTAAAACAAAGGAAATTTACATTCAATTGAAACTCGTTCAGACGACTCTCAGGTAAATTTGATCTACAGATAAGAGGCTTTTGCACAAACTTATGGAGTGCTAAGAAGTTTGATAATGCTTTACTATAGAGAACTGTGCATAAGGCTACATGACACCTACATAAGCTTGTCATGACAAGCGCTTATAAATGCTTATTCCCATAGGTGTCATTCGCTATAAAGGTTACGTTTGCCAATTTTGATCTAAGTTTGACAGATGATGCCTTTTCGAATAAGCATTTATAAACATTTATGTAGGGTTGTGTCAGTTGTCATGGCAAGCTTATGTAGGTGTCGTGTAGCTTTATGAAGAGTACGCCACTGTAAAGTGTTGCCTGAAATTCTGACATTCAAAGATTCCACTTTTCATTCAAATTGTAATGCTGGTAGTAACATTTATAATGAAAAACTTTGTATTAAATTAGAAAGGAATGCAAAAGCATTTTCACCAGTGGTCTCAAACTTTTGGACCCAACTGTATCTTCAACAAACTTCTAAATGGTGAGAAGGGCCGTGGATATAATGTGATTTGTGTTCTTGTGTTCTTCCTTTGTTCTTTGCATATTGATCCAGTTTAACTGATTTTGATTCACATCGTCCATGGTTTCTGATGTCAGGTTCGGTCGTACAAACCCTGACGAGGAGCTTGGAACAGCAGCTGAGCAGCTCCATCACCAAACCTGCTGGTGGAATCCAAGTGCTTCCTCCAGCCTTTCTGCCTTTCTCTCGACCCGCCATCATTAAACAGCAAGCGGTACATCAAACTGCTCTACACAATTCAACACCACATTGCGTTAAAGGGGCCTTTCACCTGTTTGATCAACATTAAACACACTGTGCAAAAGTCAGAGACCACCCTTCATTCATATCATTTTCCTGTCAAAACAGCCATTAAGTATAAGTTGTTCATTTGCCAGGAGATATTTCTCTGAAGATTAGATATAACATTTCAAAGAGTCCTCATCAGATAAACAGTACTTAAAGCTTTCATCTTTGAGAGAGAGGAGAAAATCAAGCTCTACTCTTACTTCAGATCTGAAAAAATCCACTGTTGTTCCTGTCCATCCTTCCACTGTGAGAAGACAACTCAACACTATCAGAGTCAGAAAGGATGTGTAGCTGCCAAGAAGCCCTTACTGAGAAAAGAAAATAGACAAAAACGAAAAACATGCAAATCAAACAAAGAAGCTGCTGATGTTCTCAGAACAATGGAATGACCAACCCAGAGTTTAGACCTCAACATCACTGCATGTGTTTGGGATTGCTTGGATTGTAAAGGAGAACATACAACCAATTTCAAGACAAGTTCAAGACTGAACTCTGGAGGTGTGGAAAAATATCCCTGTAGGTTTCTTGGAGAAACTAAAAGCAAATTTCCTGAAAAGAATGAAAGCTGCAATGAAGGCACACAATTAATACTGAATAGTTTGGAATTATATTTAGTTCTTGAGGTGTAATTGTCTGTTAAATAGCAATTTTCAGCTTTTTTCTGACACTGAAAAATGAATATCCTGCACTTAATGGACAAAGTTAAATAAATGACATTATAGTATCAGTGAACCACACAAGTGTCTCGCCAAGGTTAGTTTCACAAAAAATCAGAATTTTAAGACTAATAGGTTTCACGCAGAGAGCACAGCAGACCAAGAAAGATCGTATATTCTCTGTGTAACGAAAAAAAATCATAATTTTTCCAGCTCCAGCTGGATTTTCTCTTTTCTCTCCACCTCCTGGTCACACGCTACATAAAAAACAAGAGCCACTCGATGCAAGAAAAGAACATAAATAAAGTCCATGGAACCAGGATTCAGGGGCCGTATTACAGAAACCTCCTATCTTTTTGTCTTAAGTTCAGGTCAAGATAAGATTTTTCACAAATTCCTGTTACAGAAGCAAATCTTATCTTAATTTAGGAATCTCATCTTACAGCATCCTATCTCTAGTTAGGAAACCTTAACCTATTCGATCAAAGTCGAAAGTCAACTGTCATGTCTGTTGCCTAGCAACCAACCATACCCGCACAGCTGAAACATAATCAAATTAGTGAAGTTAGTTAGCCAAACAGCTAGCTACCACTACTGAAGGTCAAACAAAACTAAAGCACGATAAACTTCAAGTTAAGAATATTGTGTCAGCACTTGTGCTGTTTATCAGAGCATCACCGCTCTCCAGTTTCAGTTTCCCAAATGCTTTAGCCGACCGTGCTAATGTTATTCTTCCTTATGACAGACACACGTTCAGCTCTGTCTCCTCATTATTCACCACCATCACTGTGATATTTTAACTGACAGGTTTTCATCAACATTAACACATGAAGGTAATAAGAGGGGGAGGTGGCGATCGTGTCTGCAGTGTCTGGGTTTTTAAAACACAGTTAGAAAAAAAACTCATAAGTCAAAGCACTGTTTTCAGTGTAGATAAATGTAATGTCATTATGCTAGTTATAATGAACTTTGCTGCCCTTCACTGCATAAAAGATAGAAACAGACGGTTAAAACAGAAGTTAAGACACCTCTGGGGTTGTCTTAAAGTTAGGACATAATTTAGGAAATTTTGTCTAGTAAGGATGGTTCTGTAATACTGTTTTCTTATCTGGAGTTAAGATGAGATTATGAACTTAAGAACTGTTTGTAACTGTAGTAGCTTCTGTCCCAAATTCAGTTCTAACTGAAGTTGTCATGGTGACTAAACAGATGAGATTTCAGAGTTAAGAAGTTTCTGTAATACAGCCCCAGGTGTACCATATGAGCCATTACCCTTCTACCTCGAGCCAGACTCCTCCTCCTGTTGCCAACTCATGCTAAACACACCCCAACCTGCTACAGTGTTTTTTTTTTAATTGTGTCCAAATGAAATGTAACGCAAAGATTCTAAAAAACACAGCTACTAAAATGTAAGTACTGTGAGAGATTGCTTTTGCAGATTTTCCGATGCCTAGATCTATATTCAGTTTCAAACCAAAACTTTGTATCTCCATATTTTTCTTTTTCATTCTTGCATCATTTAAAAATGCTAGTTGCCTTTTAAGTCACTTGAACGTTTTAATGGACAAAAAGGAATGGTGTAAAATCTTGGTACCACTTTACAGCCAGCAAGCTCTGAGGTTTACCAGGATAGAAAAGCAACTGTTGCCATTATTATTTGTGTGACTGCTTAATAATGAAGTTGTTTATGAGCTAATTGATAACCATATTATAAGACTAATTTCAAACCATTCATAAACTGTTTATAAGAGTAGTCTTATTCCAAGTGCTTCCAAAACCATGTTACATGAATGTCCATTAACATTTGCCATTTTGATGATAAAAGGTTTTGTTCTGACGGTCTATGTCCAGCTAATACACATACACGTAATGCATGATGCAGTGTTCCATTCTCTCAGCAGGTGTCTGAGGAGGAGAGCGATCTGGATTTGTCCTCCCTAGAGGAGCCCATTGCTCTGCCTACAGGAGCACAGAAGAGCTCAGATGTGGGTGGCACCTCTGGGACGAGTGTGTGGAGCTCAGCAGCCAGCAGGGCAGGAGGGTGGTGAGGTGCTGGAAATGCATCTGTTAAAGAGGAATCTATTTGTTGAGATTTCTGCATGATTAAATGGTTAAGAAAGCCATTTAGAGTAGCTTGATGTGAAATGTGCCATTCTAGAGAAACTTGCTGAGACAAAACTGTTCACAGTGGTGGTGAAAGGAACCAAAACTCTGAGACATTTAATGCCACTAAAGGCTGCCTCATTTGAAAGTTGTTACACAAAGTGGTTACAAATCTGTTTCCTAACACTTTGGGCATGATTTTACATTAGTTTTACAAAAGGCTTTTGGCCCAATATGTATTTTTTTGAATACATGCAGAGTGGAGAGGTACATGAAGGGCACTGTACACTGTTAGAAATAAAGCTACTATGCAGGCACATTTTTCATTCATCAAAGTACAAACAGTGTAAATGTCCCCTTGAAGGTACAACAGTGGTTTTAAGGTCCAATTGTGTACCTTAAATAAATCTTTCCAGGTGAAAAGTATGTATTTGTAACTTTTCATAACCTAATGTTTTAAAACAGAACAATAAAATAAAAAGCCTTGAGACGAGACGGGGTGTGTGGAGTCAGTATAACTTCAAAATATAATTTAAATTAATTATGGTACAATTATGTTCCCTGGCTAAAGGTACTGAGATGTACCCTTGAAGGTACCACCCCAGTGACAAGAGGGGTACTGCCCCACTGACAGTTTAGTACTTAAACAAAATATTACCAAAACAAAACTTATGTTTAACAAATTTACTTCTGTTTTACCATTATCAACATTACGTATAAAAACCGACATTGTAAAGAAAAACCTACTCAAAAAGTTTCTGTACAGTTCACATCAAACCACTCTGAATGTTTATCTCAACAGTTATGCAGAGAATCAAAATTGGCATTGTTCCCCGTTAACTCTCAAGTTAACCTTTAATTTAACACCTACAGGAGAATTCCACCGCTTTATAAAAAATTTTGCGTAATTCATTGAGAGTGGTTTGATCTGAAATGATTCGTTGTAGAGAAAGTTGCAGACTTAGATTTTTTAACAGTAGTGGTGATAGGAACCAGGGGTCACAATGTCTAGAACACAAATGTAGCTATTGTTCTAATATATGGATTTACAACACATTTTAGGATATGCAAAACTATTACAAAGTAATGTCTCAGGCATCAGGCAGCATATTCATAACCATTTAATGAAAGCTTTATGTGAGGGAGCTTTTAGAGGCATTCAACTCTTCAGACGTTTGGTTCCCATCACCACCGTTGTCAACAGCTCTGACTCACTAAGTTTCTCTAGAATGGAGCATTTCACACCAAACCACTCTGAATGACTTTGTTTACATCTTAACCATTAAATTATGTAGAAATGTAAAAAATGTTTGGAGTTCCCCTTCAAACAGCATCTGTTATCTGTTTATCTTTTAAATAGACGTTATATAATATGCACATGGAGCCATGCAAATACTCCCAACTCCCAACGCCAAAATGTGGATTTAACAGGGCTGTTTCTTGTTGATTCAGTTTTTTAGTTGCAAACTACACACACACATCATGTAAACCGCTTATCCTTCTGGGTCGCGGTGGGGTGCTGGAGCCTATCCCAGCTGTCATTGGGCGGAAGGCAGAGTTGCAAACTAATGCAATGCAATTAATGCAATTAAGGCAGAGGCAAATCAGCTATACACTATAAATTCTTTAGATTTCATAAATACATACAATAATGTGTCAGCTGAATATGAGTCATGTTACATATTTTTTTTTAGTTGCCAAGAAGTAAAAAGCTTATACTATAAATATTTATATGCGTGAATGAGCCATGTCAAAACTTATATATTTATTAAAGACTTGTAACACGTCTCAAATAATGTTGGTTATTATTATTCTGCATTTGTGTTTACTTCTTATACACAAATTATTTGTACATTTTTTTGTATTGCTTTTCATATTAAAGATTTCTTGCTGAAAATAAATCCCAGTGTAATGAGTGGGGTACTGAATGTTGTAACTTTATTTTACCAAAAGAGTACAGTGATACAAAATTTAAACATAAACATGGGACAACATAAACATAAACAGAAAGAAAAACATATTAAACTTATTAAACTTAAAAGAAAATGTATTAAACTAATAAGAAAAGAAATGTAATAAACTTAGTCAACCTAAGAACATTCTTAGACTGCTCAGTGTGCTTCTGCATTCCCAATATACAGCTGTACCATTGCCTCCCACAGTTAGACTCCCCAGTTTGAACCTTCAGGCTCACTACTGAAGTCTAAACATAGTCAAATCTCTGGGTGGAGTGTCGGCCATCCATACTCTGAGCTCTGTAGGACTCGTTGTAGGTTTTGGATTTGCCTTCTGACCGGTAGATGCCACTGGCAGCTTTGTATGATGTTCCGTCATAGCTGAAGACACAGGAGGCATAATGTATTAGAAAACGGAATAATTCACCATATTACTCTTGGCAGACCGTTAAGACTTCTTACTGATGCTGGAGCTCATACTCACCGCTTTTCAGGCATCATTCCTCGACAGGCCAAGCACAACAAAACTCCACTCACTACCAAAAGACCTCCAGCCACCCAACCAACGAACAAGGCAGAGCCAAATGTGTATCTGAATGTGGAGGAGGAAATAACATGAATAACTAGAAAAGAGCATTTCCTAACAAAATGCAGAGTGATTGCACAGCCTAAGCAATTCCCAGATGGTTGCTAAGGTGGTTACTATGGTTTTTAGGTAATGCCAAAGTGTTGCTAATATATTTGAGCTAACCAGTTATTATAGGGTTTTGCTAGGTGATTGCTGTTGTATACCAGGTAGTTGCTATAGTATCTCTGATGGTTGTTAGGGTGTTAGCAAGTGGTTCCTATGGTTACAAAAGTAAAAATTCACTAATAATCACTAATAATTATAGTAAACTATTTAGAACATTTTTTAAAAACGGACGTGGTCAGACTATTCTTACCTCGGGGTGAGGGGTGACCCAACAAAGCCTGTGCTTCCAAAACTACCACCGAAACCTCCAAGTGAGGTATAAGAAGTCAGAGCAAAGTTGGTCACAATAAGATTTGCAAAGATGGAAACCCCAGCAATGGCACAGATCCCTGGAGAGAAGAAAATGCAGCATGCATTAACAATTTATGAGAGCATAATGGCTGGAAAAATGAAATATTGATGATGCAAAATAAATATTTCTCACCTGCGATGATAAACATGGCCCCTGAAGTTAATGTCATGGTTGCTTTCACACGGTCCTCCATGTTGCCCATTCTGAGGCACTTGAGGGCAAAAATAGCAATGAGGACACCAACTACTCCCAGAACGATAGCCACAATCATCAGCGCTCTCACGCCTTGGAACAGGGCTGAGGATTAATCAGACAATAAACAAGGAACAAACAGTTAATACAACAAGTACTACAAGTAATGCAATCTTAATGTCAATATCTCCATACGTTAATGACCTTGGCACAGGCCTTCGAAAGCTATCCCAGTTCCAAAAACGGGAATTCTAATAATTACATCATTCCAGACTTAGATAAAACCTATACATAGATTACATTTTCAGAACTAAGCTTAGTGTTTAAAACGTACAATCAGAATAAATTAACATTGCTAAGCCAATAAATTCTGTGTTTTAATATTAAGTCTAATTATACAATTTGCTTTTTGCAAGGTCATTGTCGACATTTTTGACATGGGTTCTTTTGCACCAGTCAACTTGAGTGTCAAAAATCAATGTCAAAGTGCTAAAACGTATCACCACTTCTAGCCTTTGATATTTATCTTAGGTTTATCATTCTGTACATGGAAAATAAAAGTATCTTATCAAAGGCCACACCCAGAGAGAAAACGCTCCATGCTATGTAACGGCTGCCAGTGCCACTCACATTTTGTTAACTAATCTGCAATGACCTCTTTTGTTTTCCTGATCTTTTAAAATTGTAAAATTTTCTAAATTTTAAAAATTAATAAAGCACAAATTTATCCATATCATCCTTGAAAAAACTCACCAGGTAATCCCAAAATAGTAAAATATGGTCGACATTGCGTCGTCCCATACTCTGTCCCCACACATGAGTGCCACAGTCCATAGTAAGCATAAATACTGGTTACTACAGTGTAGGAGCGGTCTTCAATAGCCCACATGTCCATGGCTGTGGCAGAGGCCGTCAAAAACGTACCCAGCGCCGACAGCATAAACCCGGCTACTTGTAAAAGTGAAGCGGACATTTGTCTGTTAACTCTGATCCTCCTCTGGTATCAGTCGCTGCCCACCACCGAGCTATGAACTGGCACATGAATAGCTGTATCTTATCTCTGTATTTTGTGTCCAAGGGGAAGTCCATCATAACTCATGTTTGCCCAAAATTTTGATGTGTTCTTTTCCCGCTTTCAGGTATTGGCTAACATTTTCAGTAGCTATTTCCGCAAATGAGTAATTAGAGGTGTGCCTCTGTTCAAACACTTAATGGTGTCATTTTTCATCAGTTATCAACACCGGGCATTGTGCCAAAATGCAGAATCATTTCATATTATATTTCAAAACTTGCAATATAATTTTAAAATTGTTTCTGAATCAAAATTCTCAAATCAAAATTGTCTCCATTTTCTCATTTTGTTGAAAAAGTGTAATTAGCTTTCATTATAAGCTAAGAATGTTTTGACTTTATTTCAAAAGTTACTGCTTTTTACTTCATTTTCATCATTTTGGAATTTTACAAAACTACCTTATTCAGAGTTATTACTGCCACTGTTTTGATTCTTTCCGTTATTAGTTGTTCATGAAGTTGTTCATTTAAATTCTTTTAATAGGCCATTTTTGCCATTTTTAAGAATACCACACAATTTCATGCCTGTTAACTTGATTTTTTGATAAATTGACCACTGTCCTCATTCTCTGAAGCTGCCAGAGTTTGTACATATTTTTGTGTCTTTTGTAAAAATCCAGTAAATTGTTAAACATCTTTTTAAACTCACATGAAAGAATACAATCGGCTGTTTGTATGCATAAATTGTATGAGGGAAAAAAAGGAGACCTGTTTAAATGGGTCACTGTTATAACATCATGTTAAGTCCCTTATCTGATGTAGTTTAATGTACCATCCTCACTCTACTCAGTTTTAAGGTAGATTACCTGGAAGCCCCAGGATGGTGAAGTAGGGTCGGCACTCAGTGAAGCCTGAGCTCTGCCTCACACACGACCTCCACAGGCCTGCGTAGCTGTAGACGGACGTTACGGGGTTGTCGTAGAGATCCTCTGTGCTCCACATGTCCATGGCTGTAGCGGCCACGATCCCCGCAACCCCCAAAATGCCCAACACAAAGCCCATCACCTGACACAGCGTAACAGCCATGGTGCTTGGATACCTAAATGTGCCTGTCCAAATATTTCAAATCTATCACAGCAGCTTATTTCCTGCCTGCCGTCCTCAGCCTCGGAACAAACTGTCAACAGCAGCACAGCTCCTCAGCTATATGGCACAGATGGGGTTGAACTTAGTTATGACTACACCTCTGCATCTGACCACGTATTTGTCCACAGCCATTAGCAGGCAGGGTGGGTCTACAGTGTAACGGTTACAGAAAGGAGCTTGGACTCGGAACAATTTGGAGTCGAAACTTAGATAAGCAAATGCATGCAGAAACTTTCAACGGGGGAAGTTTCTGTGTTTGCGATGCTGCTTTTCTGCTTTTTTTCTTCCTTCTTCTATGAAAATACAGCAGCTCTCTTTATGTATATATGACCAACATTGAATTGGGCAAAAACAGTTTTTCATATTTTTATATTATATACAGTGTAACTATATTTAACTCCTTATCAAACAACCTGAAATTCCCTTAATTTTCTGTCATTAAGTACAAGTTACCATTTTTTTTCAGGAGGTATTTCTTAGGAGATTAGATATAAAATGATCCACTTGCATACAGAAAGAATAAACAGGAGTTTACAAAACTGGAGTTAAAAACAAGATTCAACGGTATAGAGAAAGTGGGACTGTGCCCACCTGGTAGACCTGGTAGACCACCAAAATTCACCATCCGGTAAACAGTTTTCATCTTTAAGAGAGAAGAGAAAATCAAGCTCCACTCTTGCTTCATATCTGAAAAAATCCACAGGTGTTTCTGTTCATCCTTCCACTGTGAGAAGACAACTCAACACTAGTCTGAAAGGATGTGTAGCTGTCAAGAAGCCCTTACTGAGAAAATAAGATAAAAGAAGAAAATTTGAAAATCAAACAAAGAAGTTACTGGTCTTCTCAGAACAACTGACCACCCCAGAGTCCAGGCGTCAACCTGGGATTACTTGAATCATGAAAAGCAAAAAATACAACCAACTTCTAAGTCTGAACTTTGGAAATGTATAAAAATAAAAAACTGAAAGAAAATTCCTCAGAAAACTTTCGTAACTTACACTCGTAATTTGTAATAAAGACAAATGGTAAACACAATAAACACTGAAAAATCTGATAGTATTTTTTAAACGTATCACTACTGCTTCTTTTTTCTCTGTTCCAACTGATCAGATGTCTGAAAAATAACTACTGTGACATATCAAATATTGTGAAAATTTCTAGAAATTTCTTAAACATCTTCAGCAAACTCTTAAATGTTACACTTGAATTCTAAGATAAACTTGAGCTACTAGTCCTTGAGCAAAGACGAATTAGCCCCTTTTCACAGCAGCCATGAAATGCAATTTCCATGTTTTGGAAGTGCCATAAATTTTGCCTTATGTACTTTTTTTCTTCAACAGTATTGATGGAATATATCATGGTGGAAACGATCATGGTGTGTGATTTACAAAACCAAAAGCGAAATGTATTTTTGAGTATGTGAGCAAACAAGCCAGCATATTTAACAATGTTTTTGATGTGTTTAAATGATGTTGTTCATTGTGGCAGTTGTACAGGATTGTTTAATATGAAGAAAGCTGCAGTTGTACTGTCTGTTTTCTCTCAGCATGTCTGTCTTGCTGAGGTGTGAATTGTTTTCAATGCAGGGTGTTCTCACCCCTCCTCTTTAACCGCTCATTACTCAGTAGCATCTCAACACAGAATTGCAACATTGCACACACAGAGAACCAACAGTTATGGGGATTTTCCAAAAATGATATTAATTGCAAATATCAAAGCCAGTTACCATTCCATTGGCTGAATGGCCAATATAGTTGTGGCCAGTTTCATTTTGTATTAATATAAATTTCACTGGAGGTTTTAATTAAATATAAATGAAATAAAACGGGTGGGAACTTGGTTAATTGTGAAGAAAAAAGAAAATAAGAAATCTGATTGGTCTAAATAAAGATGTTAAATAGGTAAATTAATGTTTTTTTTTCCTCTATAACTGAGTATTGAGAATATCTGAATAAAGTATAAAACCTCCAAAACAATCCTCGAGTACTAATAAAGTAATTATTATTGGTAGTATTATCATTAACATATCTAAAATCCTAAATGGGAGTTTATGGTCATATTAGCTCTAGATGAGTAAACAGCAATGGTTCCTCACAGGCAACAAATGTAAACACTGATATCATTGTTGTGAACCGAAACCAATGCTGGCCGATACTGTGTTAGTCACGTACACAGACGAAAACACCTCTGAGGTATCACGTATTATCATTTCTCTGATCCAGTCTGAGAATTATACAGAACGTATGTCAAGGACCAAAATTAAAGTCTAACTCTGGGATTTAATAAGGATTACATCTCATTACTTTTTAGCAAATTATGACTGAGTTCAGAAGCTATCTGTCTTAATCAAATTCCAAATGTTGGACCACAGTTCAATGCATTCTGGCTGCCAAATAGCTAATTCCAGAAATGCTTTAGAACTTCAGTAATTTTGAGTGATTTTTGTGGCATGTGGCACACTGTGTGCTTACGTTTTTATAAACTCGATAAAGACCTGCAGCACATGGCAGATAAGATTTACACTACCCTGCACTCATGTTAATGGCCAACCAACAGCAGAATTGGAGTCTCAGAAGCTCTTTCTCTTATAATGCTCATCAAAAGTTCAGGGACAGGTTCTTTTCAAATATGAATTTTCTCATTGGCACTTTTTAATTAAGTAAAAAAAATACATGCAAACTTTTGGTTAATATAAAACTGCTTTTTGCTAATACTTAATTATATATTAAGTATTATTTAGCTTCAACCCTCAACTTCATGTTCATCAAAATGTCTTTATTCGCACGAAGAGCAGGCTTTGCTTAAATAATGATTTAACAGTTTTCTTTTCCAAACTATTATTTCACTGATTTTTTCAAAATTCCAGCACAATTCAGTCATCAAAAGTCATTCAGAGTGGTTTGATGTAAAATTGTTCATTGCAGAGATTTCAAGTTTTCTTTACAGTGGTTGTGATAGGATTTCAGGCGTCACAATAACAATAACTAATGCAAATTGAACCATTTTATTTATTAATCTACACATCCAGTGAACCTCATGTGTCTTCTAAGTTTTAATAGTTGTGTTGCTAAAGGTGCAATCATAGTAAACGTGAAAAAATACATTTTCTCTGGACTGTTTAAAATGCCCTGCATGTACCTCTCTGTCCTGCATATATTTAAAATAGGCCAAAAGTTTATCAGAAAAATATTATAAAAAAACAACGTATCAAGCAGCAGGTGGCATATTTGTACCTATTTCTTTCAACAGCTTTCTATGATGTAGCTTGTAGTGGCAATAAACATTTTAGATGTCTGGCTCCTATCACTGCCAGATTAAACAGTCTGACTGTTTTAAGTCTTTCTAGAAGGGTGCATTTCACATCAAACCATTTTGAATAACTTTGTTTACATCTTAAACTTTGAGTTGTGTAGAAATTTTGCAGAAGTCCCCTTTAAAGAACTCATATTGAAATTTTTTTGACCCAATGGTATATGGTATAATGTGATGAAGTAGTCCTGATTAGACTTTGATATGGTACAGCAATAAGGAAAATAAAACATGCTCATTTCATGTTTAAGCATGTTGATAAGGTGTTCCCAAAGTGTTGACACCAGTGTAATCAGCAAGATGCTGTAAAAGAAAAAAGGTTACTGAAAACATCAGGGCAGAAAGTGTGGGTCATGAATAAATGGTGGCCCAAATGATCCAGGATATACTTTGAAGCTTGAAGAAAAGTCCCTGCGGTTTGCTAATTGTACAAGCTACAATACAGAAGCTTGTGGCCAGAAGGATCATGCCTTGTTCATACAGTGACTCGGCTACCTGTTCTTATCACTCTGTCAACAGAGCAGGTTACCTTGGCTCTCTTATCGGTGTCAGTTCATCGCAGAATGAGATTAAATGCTGAATTATATGTTTCCCCATTTCTCACCTGGCAACGCACATCCTGCCTACTGCCACCCTTTCAGCAGGTGCCTGCTTATTGTTTGCCCCATTATATCCCAGCACCTGGAATAGCTTCCATCTCCACAATAAGGAATAAAAGTTTCTGGTCCTTCCATGCTCTTATACCCTGAGCACCTGCAATCACTGTTGGGCGACCATTAGCGAAGAATCAGAGAAAGGATCCGGAGCAGCTCGGCGCTGGGCAAGATGAAAGGTTCTTTGGGAAAATGGTGACAAATGGGGGGCATTTACAGCCTTTCACCTTCAGATACGCGCCCTACTTCCTCAATGACTCTCCTTCACAAGAAATGCAGAATGCATTACTGCTCCATGACCACTAGAGGGCACAGTCATTACAGAGTAGGCTGTGAGCGCACGACAGCAGGAAGCAAATTTGCAGAGAGCATGATAAGAACGTTTGCTTTCACTCTGACCAGTCCTGAGCAGAACTGTCCTGTTTGTGTTTTTCCATGGGCCTCGGAGGCTTCTCCCTGAATGTGGACCGGTCAGGAGGAGGACAATTAAGATTTCCCCACACATTTCCCTCTGCAAATGAGCGCCCAAACAAAAACGTCTTAAAAATTCCTCTCGCTCAATCTCCCGCCATTCTTCCCTTCTTTCTCACTCCTTTGACTTCCTCACTCTTTATCTCCTGTCCATCCATAACGCCACTGCTGCTGCTTTCAGCGAACTGACAGCAGATGTGAAATCCTTTCAGTGGAGTGCCTCGGGCCTAAGCTTCAGTTGCACAGCCAGTATCCACTACTGCACCATAAGAAACCCAAGCAACATCCAGCATAGCTTTTACTCTTCAAGAGCAACACAAAGCCACTTTATAGTATGGGAGTTATTTATATGTGCTTCCATGGCAGACTAGTGGATGTACAGGAGCTATAGAGAAGTGGAGATGTAGAACTAAAGCTGGTGAGAAGTGGAAAGCTGTATGGGGGAAAAAACTTTAGGATGTGAGACAAAAACTGTGCCACTCTGACAGCTTAACTCAGTGTGATGACCCTGGGATCACAGTGCTGGCAATGAGGGGGTCATGGGGTTGGACTTTACTTAAGCTTCAGAGTGGCTGTTATACAGCCATCAGCTAACCCTCAAACTGTCCTAAAGTAAGCTCTCTCTCTGCCTGATGTCTGCCGACCTCAATATCACCCCCCATTTTGTAAAACGGCCGTGACAAAT